GGTAATATAAACAGCATGTAGAGTTTTGGATATCGATATAAACAACTGGTAAAGACAGAAGAACAGCATGTATAGTTTTGGATATCGATATAAACAATAGGTAAAGACAGAAGAACAGCATGTAGAGTTTTGGATATCGATATAAACAACTGGTAAAGACAGAAGAACAGCATGTATAGTTTTGGATATCGATATAAACAATAGGTAAAGACAGAGGAGCAGCATGTAGAGTTTTGGATATCGATATAAACAACAGGTAAAGACAGAGGAACATGAAAAAAAGCTGTACAGCAACAAAAACTCCAGTTACAGAAACAAATAGCAGCACGAATACCGTACAATGACAAGAACACCAGATAAAAACAGAGTACAGCACGAGCACCATAAAGCAACAAAAACTTCAATTATAGATAAAGTAGCGGTAAAGATATGGCCTGCACAAAACGTCGACCCTTAGGGACGTAAAATGTATATCTCGCACTGGACACCATCAATGATCGGTACGGCCCCGAGTACGAATATCGGACAGTGGAAATAGCACTTTCACCTGTTCTTAACATACACAAAAATTATTACAAAAATCGAATCTCTTCCAAGAGTTTCTTTTTACACCTTTTGTTTTTTCACTAGATGTTTCTATGGATTAGCAGTTTGGGACCCAATGCTTTGTTTGTTTGTAGTTAAACACAATGGGCTATCTGTGCTCTGGCTACCACGGATTTATCGAAACCCGGTTTTTAGCGTTGTAAGTCCGCAGACATACCGCTGTGCCAATGGGGGGGGGGGCACTGCTTTATAGAAAACTGCAACGTATTATTGGATAAAATACTGTTTTGGAAAATAAGCAGAAACTTTTTTTCGTTCGTGATAAAAAAAAATATCTTGAAACAAAATACGAAGACAGCTTATTTAGCTTTTATTTCTTTAATGTTATGTTTTTACTTCGACAACAAACTCTAGTAAATAAACATATATTTTTCTTTCCTCATGAGTTCGTCGATTAAATATTAGAATGATCATTTTTATTTATTCTCGTTGTAAAAAGTATTCTTAAAATGATCCTGTTGTCTAAAATTTCGAAAATTAAGTTGGCGAATGAACAGTCAATATCTTACCGCAAGAATGTGCTCTGCACTTTAGGGTAATGGGTGTGTTATAAAAGTGATGTTGACCGTACCCGGACTGTGGAAACATAGATTCATAGTTTATACTCCGTTACCGCAAGAATGTGCTCTGCACTTTAGGGTAATGGGTGTATTATAAGAGTAATGTTGACCGTACCCGGACTGTGGAAACATAGATTCATAGTTTATACTCCGTTACCGCAAGAATGTGCTCTGCACTTTAGGGTAATGGGTGTGTTATAAGAGTGATGTTGAAATCTCACTATTTAGTCAGACAGTTGGTAGTTGTTGCTATTGGCTACTTCCTTCCCTCTAGTCTATCATTTCAAAATCGGGGACGGTTGTGAGATGACAGCAGGACGCTCTGCTTCAGTAAATGAATTACTCAAACCTTTACAGTGTTCTAATTCGTCAGGAATGATTGTAGATGGCCAAGCTTTCATTTATCTAATGGAAGTGTAAAATTATCAAACACACATTCACACGTATATAGATACTGATGGTTAATCGCACTTTTAAAGATGTTACAGCTCCCGCGTTACCATTGTAACTACTTCTTTCATCGTCTTTTCTAACATTAACGAACCTAACTGGATGGAAACAACATGTCGTCAAGTATTATCGTTGCCATTGTAACTACTTCTTTCATCGTCTTTTCTAACATTAACGAACCTAACTGGATGGAAACAACATGTCGTCAAGTATTATTTTTACTCTATTCGCCCCAGAATGTTACGTAAACCAAATCAACATGTTTCTTTCTAATACAGACTTCTCTCATACGTCACCTCAACATTCCAGACTTCTCTCATACTTCATCTCAACATACCAGACTTGTCTCAAACGTCACCTCAACATTCCAGACTTCTCTCAAACGTCACCTCAACATTCCAGACTTCTCTCGTACCTCACCTCAACATTCCATACTTCTCTCAAACGTCACCTCAACATTCCAGACTTCTCTCGTACTTCACCTCAACATTCCATACTTCTCTCATACTTCACCTCAACATTTCAGACTTCTCTCATACGTCACCTCTACATTCGAGACTTCTCTCATACTTCACCTCAACATTCCATTCTTCTCTCAAACGTCACCTCTACATTCGAGACTTCTCTCATACTTCACCTCAACATTCCATTCTTCTCTC